TGTGACTCTGATACAGTTTGCACTGCATCTGAAGTCATTATTTACAACCAAAGAAACTATAGGGAGACAACACTATGGGGCCCAGCTGGAATCCAAGTCAGTATTACATATACAACTAACAACACCCCAAGACACATCTTCTGGAGAAAGCCACTTCATAAAATTGTTAGAGATACCTGGTCCATTAAATTGCATAAATCTCAATGCAGAAGAACAACTGTTTGGCATTCTACACACAAGTGGGAGCTTGAAATATTTTCCTTTTTATACCTGGCTTATTTCACTCAGTATAATGTTTTCCACTCCCTTTGATGTGCTTGCAAATACCAATATTTCATTTTTAATGGTTGAATAGTGTTCCATCATGTGTATTTGTGTATAATATAATATATATATACCACATTTTCTTTGTCCGCATATATGTATATATCACATTTTCTTTATCCATTTATCATTTACATTAACTTAATTTCTTGGCTATTGTGAACAGTGCTACAACATAAGTGGTGGAACACATGGTTAAGAATTGCCAAACATGCCGGGCATGGTGGAACACACCTGTAATCCCAGTGTCTCCAGAGGCTGAGGCAGGAGGATCATGAGTTCAAAGCCAGCCTTGGGAAAAAGTGAGGTACTAAGTAACTGAGTGAGATCCTGTCTCTAAATAAAATACAAAATAGGGCTGGGGAAGGGGCTCATGGTTGAGTTCATGCCCCAGTACTAAAAAAAAAAAATTGCCAGACACAGTGAGGAATGATCAAATTAAGAAACTTGGGCTAGTTTATACCAAGATGTATCCCAGGGCTGTTGATGATTAAGGCAATCTCAATAATTGCCATGGATAGAGAAGTGGATCAATGGCATATAACATAGAACTTCAAAATGAATCCAAGCCTAAGCAGGAGCTTGATGTATATATAATTGAAATTATGTGAAATAATTATGTAAAGAAATATGTTTTCAATAAATGATGCTGTTATAGTTTTATTCATTTAGAAGAAAATTAAACCTCAATTATAGTGTATATATAATAAGAATTCAGATAGATCAAGACTTATATAGAAATGCAATATTTTGGAACTATGGAAGTAATTATAGGAAAATGTTCTTTTAATCTTAGGGTATAATACTATTCCTTAAAGTGAATCAAACTGCGTTCATTGTTCGGAAGTTATTAAAGAGTCTATGCAACTGTTTTTCAGAGACATTTTTCCAACCTTCACCTTGGCGCCTGGTTTTCATTTTATTGGGATTACTCTATTTTAAGTGTTGGGATTATTGCAATGAGGATATCTTTTCTCAAAAGTAAGTGAAGGATAAAATCATGGGCCTTTAGCTTTTATTTATGGTTCCAGGGATGCTCCTGTGTGCCACCAAGTCTGCTCTTCCATCTACAGGCTTCAGAAACCCATCACTTGGGCCACCGGGACCACATTCCTCATTTTCCCCCAGGCTGGCTGACAATGGCTCCCTGGGAAAATGCCAGCCACTAACAGACCCTTCCTTTAGTAGGCACAAAAATAAAAGGATGAATGATTTTCATTACTCTAAAGCTTATACAAATTTCTAAGAATATCAGAAAGACTCTAATAAAAATTTCAATGTCAAAAATACTTCTTTATCCATATATATGGATAAAGAGATTGATTAAATAAAAGAATATTCAGCCTCAATAAAATTTAAGCCATAAGAATCAATTCTTCCTCTTTAGGGGTGATACTGCTCTCTGCCATAATCCCACTTCCCTCTTCCAGCTGTCTTCTTGATATATTCCAGGTAGAGACATTCAGGGAAGGGATGGTGGGTAGAGGCACAATGGGAAAGTTCTAGGAGAATCTTATACTTCAGCTCACAGATCTTCCCAATTAAGCAAGGAGCCAAAGTTCTGTTTATACATTACACACTTTTGAATTTTGTTTTGGGGAAAATATTGGCAGAATTGGGTAAGTGTCTTGTCATGCTCTGAGCCTTCTGTATACTGTTCTCCTAAGTCCCTCTATGTTCCATAGTTTGAGCTGTCTGTGTTGTCTTTGCTCTGGTCTGGAAAGGAAGCATGTGAAAGACAAGGCTGTGCAGCAACTTCCCTCTCCATCCATTAACAAATTTGTCTGTTAGGTATATGGGGATATATATCTAAGAGTCTATGCAACTGTTTTTCGGAGACATTCATCATACATACAGCTGTACATCAGAGTCGGAAAATGCCCAATTTTTTAAAATGTTGGTACATTTTTTACAGAGAGAAACTGTAGATTTCATGAGCTGTCTAGGATATGCAAACTCAGAATGGCAAAGAAACCCCAATTTCCTCTGGCCTGCTGCTTTTGAGTCTTTATACAGGCTTTCATTGACCATGAAATACACTGATTTTTATGTTACAAAAAACTTCAGGAAAATAGCTAAGAATGTCACCAGATACTGAGACTTCCATCCACACTGTCCCTTCATTCCTGTTTTATAATTTCATCCTCTCCTCTTTTTTGTTTCCAGAACAAAGAAGGAAGTAATCACAGGTAGATGAGAGAAGCTATTACTGTCCTCCCTCATTTCCCTAATCATCTTTTCCTTCCAAGTCCCTAGCTTATAAATTCACATAACCCGAGGCTCATCAGAACCCACAGAGCCAAATTTGTGAAGGGGAACTTGAAATTGTGTACTAATATAAAAGGAGTACCTTTAGTAGTAAAGCCCATAGCCTTCATTGGATCTCAGGTGATCCCATGATGCCCATAAATGTTGATCACCCTTGGTTGCTCCTCCTTCTCTTGTTTCATGCTCTCCATGTAATCACTGACTTATATATTCTGTTTTCAGCATTGAGAAAATACCAGAAACATACAGGTAACAATGCCAGAGGGGGCTGGTCACAGTTCAGTCTCAAGTGGGTATAGCAGGTGTCAGATATGCAGCCCACCCAATCTGCTGATGATTAATCTGTGATGCTGCAATGCATGTTAAAGTGCAGCTTTCCCCAGGTGAACTTCAAACAGAGGTGGAGGAGGGGAGAGGGCAGGAATTGGGACATACGATTTGAAGTTTTCAGGCAAAGAAAAGAATTGAGAATTGATGTAATTGATGAATAGACAGGATTCCAGGCAGCAGGGGAAAGAATTGAGTTAGGGCCAGGAAATGGTAAGGGGAGAACTGAATAGTGGATTTATTTGAGATTTCACAAAGATAAATAATACGCTTATAGGGAAGGGCAAAAATAGAATTAGGAGGTAATATTGGGGGCTGCACTGGAGAGGAAGAAATTGCTGGATGGGCAATGGCCAATAGGGATTCTGGTTCTGGGTCCTCACCTGAACCTACTCTGAACCAATCTACAGTGAGAGGAGTCTTCTTCCCACTAACTTATATTTCTTTGTTCAGCCATATCACAGTGGAGGTGACTCTGGACCCAGATACAGCTCAACCACAGCTCTATATGTCTGATCAGAAAAACGTAACATATAAAAAAGCTTTCCAAAATGTTCCCTACACAGAGAAGAGATCTAAGAGAAAGTTTCTAAGGGTTTCCATTCAGGGAAACATTATTTGGAAGTAGATGTGGAATACAATGACAATTGCTTCTTGGGAGTGTGTCAGGATAACGCACCTAGGTGGCAAAAATACTTCTTATAACTCCCAGAAGGGGATACTGGGTCCTTAAAAAGGAGGAAGATAATACATTTTTCATATTAAATCCCCATAAAAGAATGATCTTCCCCTGTACACCCCTTACAAGAGTTGGTATCTTCCTAGACTATGAGGGTGGGGAAAGATAGCTGACTAGTGACATATATGGAGCTACTTAGACTGCAGACAATAAATTTGGATACACAACAAGGTGCGGCTTCCCATAGACATACTTCTCAGCTCAGGTTTATGAAGAAATAAAGCAGGGGCTGATGCAGCCAGGGTGACAGTCAAAGGCAGAGTTACAGATAATTTAGGGCACTAGTGACTGACCTGGGGTCTGGGTGGTGGGGAAAGAAATAAAAGTTATACAGAAACTAATATATGGGAGGAAGCTGAATAGTGGGGTTACAAAAAGTCTCGCTAAGTTAAATAATGGGCATGTATGGAGAGACAGCGGTAGAAATGGGGTGAAATTCAGGAGTCACCAACTCACTTCTAGGGCTTGCCAAGCATTGAAAAGGCACAGAGGCTTCACTGTGAAGGAGGAAAGGGCAGGAGGTGTGTGCTCACACACACAAACAGTTAAGTTTTGCTGTGCTTAGCAAAACAAGGAGTTCTGTGAGAAAGTATAAACTCTTTGAACTGTGTCCTTGTTGCTGTCTTAAGAAGATAAGAGAAAAGAATGTTCTGCCAAGTGTAAAATTTATATATATATATATATATATATATATATATATGTGTGTGTGTGTGTGTGTATGTGTTTGCCTGGGAATAACTAACCACAAGTTAATTGATAAGAAATATGGAGCACTGTGACCATAAACAAAGTTTTCCTGAGAATGTTTACCGATGCTTGTAAGGATTAAGCTGCTGAAAGGATGCTTTTTCTTTTCCCTGGTTTTATTATTTTTTTTAAAGAGAGAGAGAGAGAGAATTTTAGTATTTATTTTTTAGTTTTCGGCGGACACAACATCTTTGTTTTTGTATGTGGTGCTGAGGATCGAACCCGGGCCACACGCATGCCAGGCGACCGCGCTACCGCTTGAGCCACATCCCCAGCCCTTCCCTTGTTTTAATTAACAGTGCTGTATAAAAGAAGGAGAGAAAAAAGTAAAGACGGTGCTCATTTCTACTGGATGTGTGTGTGTGTGTGTGTGTGTGTGCGTGTGTCTTTCTTTAAGCATCTCTGCTGTAACAGGAATTACAGATTGTCAGCGGGTTCTGACAAGGAGGGGCAATGTCCAATAGGGATTCTGGCTCTGACACCTCCCCTGAACCCACCCTGACCTAATCTGCAGTGAAAGCAAGTGAGTTCTGGGACTAGCTCAGGTCACCTCCCCACTAACAGGTGTTCTTTCTATCTCTCCCCTGTATCACAGTGGAGGTAACTCTGGACCCAGACACAGCTCACCCACAGCTCTACATTTCTGATCTGAAAGCTGTAACATATAAGAAAATGTCCCAGGAGGTGCCTTTCACAGAGAAGAGATTTAGGAGGAAATGTGTGGTAGCTTCTCAGTGTTTTCAGACAGGGAAGTGCTACTGGGAAGTTGATGTAGGACACAATGAAAATTGGTTCATGGGGATATGTCAGGATAATGAATCCAGGAAGGCAAAGGACTTAAATTTGTCTGCCCCAAATGGAATCTGGATCCTTGGACAGTGTAAATATGAGCATTTTACATTAAATACCCACAGAATCAGTATCTTTTGTATGCCCTTTACAATAGTGGGTATCTTCCTAGACTATGAGGGTGGGACCATCTCTTTTTTCAATGTAAATAATCAGTCCTTCATTTATACCATGGCAACTCAGTTTAAAGGTTTATTGAGGCCATTTATCATGTGTAAGCCATAAGAATGAAAATATGACTCCCATAATCATCTCAGAGGTCAGAAGAGAAGCCTCTTTTCAAAGGATCCCCACATCCCCAAACACAGACCAAGAACCTCCCCACAGATGACCACACTCTTCTTCCCCATGAATAATCCTCAGAATGACACCTCACACTCTCCTTTAGGCTACTAAGGTTCCTCTTTGGATTCCAAAACCTCCCAGAAGATAGCAATGATGGCTTCTTGATGACGAGAGATTGATCTGTCTACATGGGAATCATGGGTCATAGCTACTTTGAGGTGGGGAGGGAATAAGGCTAACATTGAATTTAGTTTGTCATAACTCCATCAAATAAAGTTTGATGAGTCACATCCTCTCTAGCTCCTTATCAGATTGTCAGGAACAGTGACCCACCTCTGTTGTCATAAGGAAGATTAAAGAGACAGTAAATGTGAATCACACTTTCATCTTTTTGATGGTACAGTATTTGATGATGATCTTTTTTATACCAGCATACCTCATAGGTATTGTGGTTTGCTTCTAGATTACTGCAACAAAACAAATAATTTAATAATTTAATAAATCAAGTCACATGAAGTCTTTTTTGCAGTAAATATAAAAGTTATGCTTATACTAAACTGTAGTCTATTTACTGTGCAATAGCATTATATCTAATGTAATACTTGAAAACATCTGGGCAATACTTGAGTAAAAAAGTATTTGATTGCTAAGAAATTGCTAAAAATCACTTGAACCTTTAAGAAATCATAATCTTTTTTTTTTGCTGGTGAAGCATCATGCCTTGATGTTGATGGCTGCTGACTTATCAGGGTGGTGGCAGTAGATGGCTGTAGCATCTGTAGCAATTTCTTAAAATAAGTCCACAGTGAAGTTTACCACATCAATTGATTCTTTGCTGAAGATTTCTCTATAGTATGCAACGTGTTTGATAGCATTTTACCCACAGTAGAAATTCAAAACTGAAGTCAACTCTCTCAAAACCTACCAGCTCAGTTAATGTGTTATCTTTCAAGTCCTTTCACGACTTTTTTTTTTTTTTTTTTTTGATGCAGAGGATTGAAGGCAGGGATATTTAACCACTGAGCCACATCCACAGCCTGTTTTATATTTTTTTATTTAGAGAAAGTTGCTTAGGGCCTTGCCACTTTACTAAGGCTGGCTGTGAACTCCCAGTCCTCCTGCCTCACCCTCTGAGACGCTGGGATTACAAGTGACTGCCATCATGCCTGGCTCTTTCAAAGCTTCTTCACCAGAAGCCAATTCCATCTCAAGAAGCCACTTTCTTCATGTATCATTAAGAAGCAACTCCTAACCTAATGAAATTTTTGTAGTAAGATTGCAACAATTCAGCCATATCTTCACACTCCTTTCTAATTAAAGTCCTTCCATTGCATCAGCTACTTTCTCTACTGAAGTCTTGAACTCCTCAAAGTCATTCATGAGGGTGGGAGTCAACTTCTTCCAAACTCGTGTTAATGTTTATATTTTGACCTTTTCTCAGGAATCATAAATGTTCTTAATGGCATGTAGGCTGGTGAATCCTTTCCAGAAAGATTTAAATGTACTTTGCCCAGATGCATCAGATGAATCACTATATATGGCAGCTATGTTTCATGATCCTTAAACAATACATGTACATTGAATTTATTTCTTGATCCAAGGGTTGTAGAATGAATATTGTGTTCACAAGCATAAAAACAATAATTATCTCATTATACATCTAAGTTGAAGGTCTTGGGTGACCAGATGCATTCAATAAGCAGTGATATTTTTTGAATGTAACATGGTAACATTTTTTTATTGGTGCATTCAATTATATATAATAGTGGGATTTTTATATGTTCTTGTATAATAGTATCATTTAGTCAATTTCATTCCACAGTACTTTCCCTTTTCCTTCCCTCTTCCCTATACTGGTTTCCTTCCTTTACTGTACTGGTCTCCCTTTCATTTTCATGAGAATATATACCTTTCTTTATTTCTTTGTTCTCTCTAGCATCTACATAAAAAAAATGATACTTGAGTTTCTGAGCCTGGCTTGTTTCACTTAATTTAATGCTCTCAAGCTCCATACATTTTCCTGCAAATGATCCATACATTTTCTTCTTCATGGCTGAATAAAATTCCATTGTGTTACTATACCACATTTTCTTTATCTACCCATTCATTTATGGAAACCTAGACTGTTTCAATAATTTGGCTATTGCTAATTGTGCTACTATAAAAATTCAGAATGTGTCACTATAGTATACTAATTCTTAAAGGTAAATACTGAGGAGTGATATAGATGATATGGAGAGTGATATGGTCATACCACACCAAGTCCTTGGAGGAACTTCTATAGTGACTTCCACAGTGTTTGTACCAATTTACAACACCACCAATAGTGTAAGAGTGATCCTTTCCCCCAAAATCCTCTCTAACATTTATTATTACTTTTATTCTTGATGATTGACATTCTGACTGGAGTGAGATAAGACCACAGTTTAGTTTTTATTTGCATTTCCCTAACTGGTAAAGATGTTGAATATATTTTTACATGCCTCAACCATCTGTATTTACTGAGAAGTGTCTGTTTATTTCATGTTTTAGTCAGCTTTTTTTCTCTGTTGTGAGTAATAAAAGACTTGACCAGAACAATTTTAGGGGAGGAAAAGCTTATTTGAGAGTTCATCATTTCAGAGCTCAGTCTATAGACAGGTGGCTCCACTCCCCAGGGCTGAGGAGAGGCTGAACATCATGGCAGAAGAGTGTGGCAGAGGAAAGCAGCTCACATGATGATTAGGTAGCAGAGAGAAAGTCTCCACTGACCAGATACAAAATATGTACCCCAAAGCCAAGTCCCTCATGTCCCACCTCCTCCAGCCACACCCTACCTGACTTCAGTTACCACTCAATTAATCCCATCAGGCGATTAATTCTCTGCTTGGGTTAAGACTCTCACAACCCAATAGTTTCTCCTTTGAACCCTCTTGTATTATCTTACATGTGAGCTTTTGGGGGACACCTCACATCCAATCCATAGCAGTTAGTTTTCCCATTTATTGATTGGGTTATTTGTTTTTGTTCTCTTTATTTATTTTTTGGCCATAAGTGTTTTGAGTTATTTACATATTCTGGATATTTATCCTCTGTTGAAAGAATAGCTAACAAAGAGCCCCCTCGCCCCGTTCTTTAGTTTCTTTTGTCACAAACAAGCAATTTTTAATATTTTGAAAGAACAGTAAACTCTGTTGTAAACAGACATATTATAGTCCAGGCTTTGTTGTGCCTTCATAGAGCACAGAAAAAGTAGATTCAATATAATTGTTAACTGCTCTAGGATTTTCAGAATAGTAAATGAATATTGGCTTCAAGTTAAAATTATCAGCTACTTTAGCCCATAACAATAGAGCCAGCCTGTCTTTTGAAGCTCTGAAGTCAGGAATTGACTTCTCTATAGCTATGAAATTCCTAAATGGTATCTTCTTTCAATAGACGGATATTTTGTCTATATTGAAAATCTGTTGCTTAGTGTGTACACCTACAATTATCTTATCTGAATTTTCTGTATAACTCGCTACAATGTTTATATCAGCACTTACTGTTCATCTTGTCCTTTCATGTTGTGGAAATGGCTGGTTTCCTTAAACTTCATGATCTTCTGAAGCTTCCTCCACTCTCCCAGTTTTAATACAATTGAAGTGAGTTAGACCTCTGTATGCTTTAGTCTTTTGACTTAAGACCATGTAAGGACTGGCTTGATCTATCCAGACCACTAAAATGTTATCCATATTATCGATGAGGTGTTTTCCTTTATTACCTGAAATCAGGGCAGATAAGGGGCTAAAACTCAAAAGTGCCAGTTTCTGCCTGGAAGGGATTTGCCAGCATACTCTGCCAATTGCTGTTGCTGAGAGCTAAGCTTCTACCTAGCCTGCATTAGGGTAATAACCAGACAAGCAGACCTCTACAATTCTGAGTGAGAAATTGGTACTTCTTGAGCTTTTTATCATAGCTTATTACAGCAATAACTCCAGATCCACCATTTCTTCCTGAAATGAGTTTTTCAATACATGGAACACCCTAATTTTTACAACCCCTACCCACAGAACTACATCCTAAATTTTCTGACTCTGGGGAACAGAGGAAACCAGGACATGTGGGTCTCTCTAGAGCACAAAACAAAGAGGTGGTTTTAAATGGACATATAACATTTCTAGGAGCTATACCCATTGCATGATGTGAAAAAAGAGGGGTTTAAAAGGACAGCCTTATGTTTCTCACTGGAAGGAGTTTCCCTGATCATAATTCCAGTGGCTACCTGATGGCCTAATTTCTAATTAACTTGCATCAGGGAGTCAATAGAACAGAGAAATAGTAGACTTCATGCAGCCTGAGCAGGACCTCACTATTTACCAAACCTCCCTCCTCCCAGCTCACTCCAATGATAAATCCATGTCTACATAATTTTCCAGATGGAGTTTGTCCACACACCCAAGTTCCAAAACTTATACACCTCCCACCCATAGGATTGCATTGTTAATCATTTAGATATTGAAGTTGATGGGGCTCTTTAGTCCTGAGTCTCTCTGGACCACAGAAAACAAAGAAGTATATATGTAATGAGACCATTTCCAATGGTTATAACATTATCAGAGGTTATGACCTGAATATGAATGTATGAACTTGCCACATATTATCTCAATGGATTGATATAGAAAGATAAATGCCAACCCTGAACTTCACTATATGAATAGAAGAAACAATAACAGAATATGATACATTCTAATCTGTTAGGGGCCATCAGAAAACAGAGACAGCAGTATGGACAAACAGAAATACTTGAGAGGTACTTTAGTATCTCTGATCAAATAGACTAGTGATATCCTTCTCTTACACAAGGTTAGTGTGACAAAACAAAGTAAGATAATTCTCTTATCTAACATGTAGAAAATAACACAGAGAGCAAAAAAGAAAATTACAAGACAGTAAATATACTTCAAATAACAGAACAAGAAAATCCTCTATAAAGCAACCCTAGTCAAATGGAGATATGATTTATCTAGAGAATTTTTTTAAATAATCATAATAATGCTCACCTCAGAATCAGGAGAGCAAAACAAA